CCTCCCAGACCCCCCTCCCCAGACCCCCTCCCCAGCCCTACCCCTGCACTCCCCAGCCCTCCCCTCCCCAGCCCCCCTCCCCAGCCCTCCCCTCCCCAGCCCCCCCTCCCCAGCCCCCCTCCCCAACCTCCCCTCCGCAGCTCCCCCTCCCCAGCCCCCCTCCCAGCCCTCCCCTCCCAGCCCCAGGCCCCTCCCCAGCCCCCCTCCCCTCCCCAGCCTCCCTCCTCCCCAGCCCCCCTCCCCAGCCCCCCTCCCCAGCCCCCCTCCCCAGCCCCCCTCCCAGCCCTCCCCTGCCTCCCCTCCCCAGCCCTTCTCTGCCCTCCCTCCCCAGCCCCCCTGCCCCCCCCCCGCCCCCCCAGCCCTCCCCTGCCCCTCCTCCTCTGCCCCCCCCCCCCCAGCCCTAATGTAAAGGGGCTGTCAATGCATGTAAGCTGTTGTTGTCGCTGTGGTAAGTGGGAGCTTGTGGTTTGTGCACCACGTTGGTGATGACAGGGACTGCGGTTGTTCTCATCACACACCAGTTTGTTCAGGTCGGCAGGACCTGGAAGGGCCGACCAGTCACTGGGGGCCGGGAATCCTCCCCCTCAGCTCCTGGTAACCCCACAGCCAAAGCCCTAACGGGGAGGGTGGTCCTCGCTGGACAAGCAGTGGGAAAGCTTGGCCAGACAGCGATAGCAATGGCCAAGCTGTGTGGGTTTAGCCGGTTAGACTCCAGCAGTTACCCCAACACACACTCTGGGCCCCCCCCAAGCCTTGGCTCTCGCCAACCTGCGCCTAATACTCTCCGGAATTAGGTAAGGAGGGGGTGTCCCTCCAGAGAGAGAGAGAGAGAGCGCATTCCATTGCAACAAACTCTCTCTCTGGGAATTCCATGTGTAGGTGGGATGTGGGGAATTCTCAGTTGGGTTTGGAGACTCTTAAGCAACGGTGACGGGTTTCCGTGTGTGTCAGAGACCCGACCGGTCACGGTGACGGGTTTCCGTGTGTGTCAGAGACCCGGCCGGTCACGGTGACGGGTTTCCGTGTGTGTCAGACACCCGACCGGTCACGGTGACGGGTTTCCGTGTGTGTCAGACACCCGGCCGGTCACGGTGACGGGTTTCCGTGTGTGTCAGACACCCGACCGGTCACGGTGACGGGTTTCCGTGTGTGTCAGACACCCGGCCGGTCACGGTGACGGGTTTCCGTGTGTGTTAGACACGCGGCCGGTCACGGTGACGGGTTTCCGTGTGTGTTAGACACGCGGCCGGTCACGGTGACGGGTTTCCGTGTGTGTCAGACACCCGGCCGGTCACGGTGACGGGTTTCCGTGTGTGTTAGACACGCGGCCGGTCACGGTGACGGGTTTCCGTGTGTGTTAGACACGCGGCCGGTCACGGTGACGGGTTTCCGTGTGTGTCAGACACCCGGCCGGTCACGGTGACGGGTTTCCGTGTGTGTCAGAGACCCGACCGGTCACGGTGACGGGTTTCCGTGTGTGTCAGACACCCGGCCGGTCACGGTGACGGGTTTCCGTGTGTGTCAGACACCCGGCCGGTCACGGTGACGGGTTTCCGTGTGTGTCAGACACCCGGCCGGTCACGGTGACGGGTTTCCGTGTGTGTCAGACACCCGGCCGGTCACGGTGACGGGTTTCCGTGTGTGTCAGACACCCGGCTGGGTAATAAAATAATCCCACGTGTGTCAGGCTCCGATGCACTAATCGGAACCTGGAGAGATTGACCAGTAATCTCTCGGCTGTTTGGGGGCCGGGGCTGTGCACAAATTTGCCGTCATGTTTTCTTCTATTAATGATTTTACACAGTGTCTTTCACGTCAGGATGGCGTCTCAAAGCGCTTCACAGGGTTTACTGTAAAGTGTACTGACTGTGAGTTTTGTGGGTGAAACGTAGCAGCCAATTTGCGCACAGTAGCGTCAATTTGGGAATTGTTGGCCAGGACACCAGGAGAGAGAGACAGAGAGAGAAAAACTCTCTTTTTTAACAGCACTGCGGAATCGTTAACATCCCCAGTGTTGGGGGAGGAGGTGCCGTCCTCTGGCTGAGACGTTAAACCGAGGACCGGTGTCTGGCTGTTCAGGAGGATGATAAATATCCTGTAGAACTATCGGGAAAAGAGAAGGGAGTTTCTCTCTGGCTCTCTCTCTCTCTCGCTCTCAAATTGTGCTGCGATTATCTGCAAAACTCACAGTTATGGTAAAGTTATGGTACTTTACAGCAAGTTCTGTGAAGCGCTTTGGGATATAGCGATGAGCTGAGAAGGCACTGCGTCAAATGTAAAGGATATTATTATGTTTATTATTTTCTCTTCTGGCTTACTTTGTGAGCTTTGTATTTTTCCCTGCGTTCCGGGTGGGCAGCAGTGGGGGGTTGGTTGAGGGGGGTTGGGGGGAGATTTTTTTTTTGCTTTTTGCTTCATCCCCACAGCTCCCCAGGGCCAGTGTCATGGAGCTTTCGGGAACATTTTAGGGATTTGAGGGAGGAAGAGGAGAATGTGGGATGTTAATAACTGTTTCCCTTGTATTCCCCCTCCCCATGTTCCTGCCCTCCCTCTCCCTCTCCCTCTACCCACCCCCTCTCCCTCTACCCCTCCCTCTCTGTGTAGGAGCTGACCCCTATGTCATCATCCGCTGTGAAGGGACAAAAGTTTGCTCTCCCGTCCACAAAGACACCGTGGATCCAGAGTTCAATGTTAAAGGCATTTTCTACAGGAAGAAACCAAACCAGCCTCTCCGCATTGAGGTGAGAGACCGACAAGCACAGACACGTGTGTGTACAGTACAAGGAATCCTGTAGCTCAGGGGTTAGACACTTGCCTCGCAAGCGAGAGGACCCGGGTTTGATTGGGCAACTTTCCTTACTCCACCTCTGTTTACCAGCAGTGAGTATGAACCCAGTTGTTAGTCGATTGACGGATCACTTTTCTGGGGATAATAATCCTTTCAACAACACTGCTGTGCACAATTGGCTGCTACGTTTCGCCCACAGAATATACAGTCACTACACTTTACAATGTATCCTGTGAAGTGCTTTGAAACGTCTCAAAGATGTGATAAGGTGCTGCATCAAATGCAAGGATTATTATAAATATTTAATATTTGAGATGTCAAAGGCACTCTATAAATATGAATGGTTGACCTTGCTATTCCAATTCAATTCTTCCTCCCCCTCCGCGTCTTGCTGACAATCCCCCCCACTCCCCCTCCACCTCGCAGATAAAATCAACCATTCACGTCATGGCTGTTTGAGGGATGTGAGCTGTGTGCAAATTGGTTGTCGCAACACAAAATACACAGTAAAATCCCATGAAGTGCTTTGAGATGTCCTCTCAATACTCCTGCTGCACTGCCCCTAGACTGAGCTTAACCCCCCACCCACCCCATGGCTTCAGCCCTCTATTCAGACCCTGAATAGTTGTGTATCTATAAGTTGTGTTTCTCTTTTCCTATAGCACTGTGGGATCTTCAATGAGCCCCTCGCACCCCCTCCCCACCTTGTGTTCCACCCCCAGCTCGGGTGCAAACCCTTCACTGTCCAGTACCTTGGGATGTCCTCCCGACGTGAAGGGTGCTGTAGTGTAGTGGTTAGACACTCGCCTCACAAGTGAGAGACCCGGGTTTGATTCCCGGGCGGGAGAAACCTTAGATAAGTTTCCTTACTCCACACCTCTGTTTACAGCAGTGAGTAGGAACCCGGGTGTTAGTCGATTGGCGGATCACTTTCCTGGGGGTAATAATCCCTTCAAAAAAAATTAGTGACTTAATCCACGGCTGTTTGTGGGACGCTGCTGTACGTAATTGGCTGCCACATTTCTCCCACAAAATACACAGTCACTACACTTTACAGTGTATCCTGTGAAGCGCTTTGAGGAGTCTCAAACAGGGTTAAATTACGAGGACAAGTTGCATCAACTTGGTCTGTCTTCCCTCGAGTTGAGAAGGTTGACGGTGATCTGATTGAGGTGTTTAACATAATAAAGGGATTGGATAGAGCAGATACAGAGAAACTGTTTCCTCTGGTGGGGAATCCAGAACACGGGGATCATCTTAAAATTAGAAGCCGCGCCATTGAGGAGTGAAATCAGGGGCAGGTTTTCACCCAAAGGCCGGTGGGGATCTGGAACTCTCTCCCCAAAAGGCTGTGGATTCTGTGTGGATCCATTCACATTGTCCAGACTGAGGGGGAGAGATGTTTGTCAGGTCAGGGGATCAGTGGATATGGGGCAAAGGCGGGTAATTGGAGTGGAGCTACAGATCAGCCATGATACAGGCTTGAGGGGCTGAATGGCCTCCCCTCCTGTTCCTATGTCAGTATGTTCCCCCCCACCCTGTCAGAACATCGCCAGTACAGACCCTGATGGAGCAGCTCAGGAGACCCTCCCTGTTGTGCACTTTCAGGAGTTTCTCAAACAGCTTTGTCGTCTTCTCCTCGTCCCCCGTGTACGCCTCCTCCACCAGGTCTATCTGCTCCGACACCCCACCCGTGAAGTCCACCAGTGCGTCCGCTGTGTTCCCTCCGTCCAGCGCCTCATAACATCCGACCAGCCTGTGGGGGAGGGGGGAAACAGCTCCTTTACAACACACACCCCCATCCTGGCAGTCACTTGACATGTCATGTTACAAACTATATACTGTATCTGAGTGTGTGGGTATATGTCTTTGTGTAGGTGTGTGTGGGTGTGTCTGTCTATCTGTCTGTGTGTGTCTATATACTGTATCCCCAGATATTATTTTCTAGCAGAAATTGATCTCATTTTTTTTTCTGGTTCCAGCTCCTGTCTCCCCAGGGAGTCTGTTCCATAAGTTTCCTACTCGCTCACTGAAGTAGTGTCACCTCAGATTTGTTCCGAATTTACACCGTTCAATCGCAGGCCGTGTCCTCTGGTTCTACTGTTCTGTATCCTGGTCTACATTATGTAGTCCGTCAGAATCTTAAAGACAGTAATCATATCACACTTAACCTTCTCTTCTCCAGTGTGAATATCTCCAGTTTATCTGACTGCTCCTCATAGTCCAGTCCCTCTATCCCCTCAATCATTCTGGTTGCCCTCTTCTGTATCCTCTCAGAGTGGTATCACAGCGAATAGTGGTTGTTGTCGGCTAGTGCGGCTTGTGTTGAGTGCACGTACTTGGCGTAAGCTTTCTCCACCAGAGCGCTCCAGAACTCGTTCTGGGAGTTGGAGTGACAGTAAACCAATTTGCCGTTGACTGTGGCCAAGCGATCATCCACCACCACGTCCAGCCACTGGCCAAACCGCCAGAACCGGAAGTGAAAGATCCCTGCATACTGGTCAGCTTTCTCCGGGTTCCACTCCTGGTCCTTCCAGCTGGGAATAACCTGAGGGTTTTACCAGGAAAACAGCAGAGAGGGTGTGGGGGGTGGGGTTGGGGCAGAAGCAAAATGAGTTCAGCAATGACAAGAGAGGAAACAACAACCATAATATAATAATTATTCTGAGGTTTTATTATCTTTTGGCAGCCAAAAGCAAAAACAAATTATTTACTGCACCTTTCACATCTGGAGGACGTCCCAAGGCACTGGACTGTCAGGGATTTGGACCCGAGCTGGAGGGTGGGATCAGGAGGGGTGGGGAGCGGGGAGGGTGGGGGTACGAGGGTGACCAGAGACGCAGATGAAGAGGAGGATCTTGAGACGGGTATTGAAGGAGACAAGGGAGTGGGCGAGGCGGAGGGACTGTAGGATGGTGTTCCAGAGGATGGAAGCAGAGAAACTGAAGGCCTGGCCACGATAGTGAGGATGGGCCGGGCGGGGGACATGGAGCAGGCTGGAGCAGATTGGGGTCAGCAGGTTACAGAGGTAGAGAGGGGCAAGGCCATGGAGGGGTTTGAAGGTGAGGACAAAGATTTTAAACCCTATCCTCTGAGGGATGGGGAGCCAGTCGAGCAAGGCGAGGGTGGAGGTGATTGGAGAAAATACACAGTCACTACATTCTGCAGCAATTGTAATGTGAGGCATAAATTGGAATATTTGTAATACAGTAAAACTTGATTAAGTCTGATTTGTATAAATCGTATAAAATAATAATAATCCTTACAATCCACACAGCTCCTTATCACGTTTTCTAAACATTTCAAAGCTCTTTACAGGTACACTGTAAAGTCAATGACTGTATATTTGTGGACGAAACTCGGCAGCCAATTGCACACAGCAGCGTCCCACAAACAGTTGTGGGTTGAGTCACCAGATTATTTTTGCCCAAATCCCGTTCAAGAGTTTATATTCTCTGCAGGTTTTACATAACTCATACTTTGCAGAAATTATATTAAATGTATGGTCCCCACTGATAGGACTTCCCGAGGGCCAACAACGGCCGAGGTCCCAGGTATCAGGGCACAAACAGGGCCTCGGTTTAACATCTCGTCCAAGAGACAGCGTCTCCAACAGAGCCAAGTCCCCCCCCACTCCTCCCAAGGACCTCACTGGAGCCTCAGCCTGGACTGTGCTGTGAGCTCAAAGCCCCCAATGTTAAGCTATCGGGGAGAGGGCTTACCTTCTGCCACAAGGATTCTCTGGACGCCAGGCATGAACAGGCCGCCACAAACCAGCAGTTACCCAGCTGCCCTTGGTTCAAGTCATGGGCGCTCATCCCATCAACAAACAGGTGAGGGTCATCACAGATATCCTGTAGCGAGAGAGAGAGAGCAAAGAGAGAGACATTAGAGAAGGGGTGTGGGGTGATTAATTTATCAAGTCCCAGGAGTCTATTCCTCTCCACATTTCCCTGTTCTCCCATTTACCGAGCAGTGGAGAGCTCCATATCCTCTGCACTCACAGCCACAGAGCGGGTATGAAGGCTGTGGCAGATAACAGGTCATCTCATGAACGAAACCAAACACTTCCTTTGGGAGTACTGACTGGTATTTTACTGACTTTCTACTATTTTATGCAAATGCCTCCCTCCCCAAATCCCTCAACCCTTCTTGAAATCCTTCCTCTTTTATAGCATTGTGGAGTCCTATAGCTCAGTGGTTAGAGAACTCGACTCACAAGCAAGAGACCTGTTGTTGGGATCTGGAATGCATTGCCTGAAAGGCCGGTGGAAGCCAATTCTATAACAACTTTTAAGAGAGAAATAGATAATTATTTGGGGAGAACAAGTTTGCAGAGCTATGGGGAGAGAGCGGGGGAGTGGGGTTGATCAGGGCTATGGGGAGAGAGCGGGGGAGTGGGGTTGATCAGGGCTATGGGGAGAGAGCGGGGGAGTGGGGTTGATCAGGGCTATGGGGAGAGAGGGGGGGAGTGGGGTTGATCAGGGCTATGGGGAGAGAGTGGGGGAGTGGGGTTGATCAGGGCTATGGGGAGAGAGGGGGGAGTGGGGTTGATCAGGGCTATGGGGAGAGAGTGGGGGAGTGGGGTTGATCAGGGCTATGGGGAGAGAGGGGGGAGTGGGGTTGATCAGGGCTATGGGGAGAGAGTGGGGGAGTGGGGTTGATCAGGGCTATGGGGAGAGAGAGGGGGAGTGGTGTTGATTTGGAAGCTCTTTTCAAAGAGCCGACACAGACACGAAGGGCTGAATGGCCTCCTTCTGTGCTGTGTGATTCTAGGACCCGGGTTTGATTCCCGAACGGGGAGAAACCTCAGGCAAGTTTCCTCACTCCACGCGCCTCTGTTTTCCAGCAGTGAGTAGGAACCCGATTGACAGATTGCTTTCCGGGAGTAATAATCAGTTCAAAATAAATAATAATAATAATTTGGTCACTTCAATCCACGGCTGTTTGTGGGACGCTGCCGTGCGCAATTGGCTGCCGCGTTTCAGCCACAAAATATACAGTCACTACATTTTACAGTTTATTATGTGAAGCGCTTTGAGACGACTCAACAATGTGATGAGGCGCTGTATCAAACTCCAGGATTATTATTATCTTTGATTGATAGGAAGTCCAGCTTAGAAACCTGTCCATATGGTCTATCTGGTATTCATACTCCACTCGAGGGCCCATCCTCGATCCTATCGCGATCCTAGCCCACCCTGTCTGTCCCCTCGTATCCCTTTCACTTTAGTTTATCATAATAATAAATAATAAATAGAGTGTATGTGTAGTATTATCGATGTGAGAAGCTCAAGTGCTTACAATGTACAAAATAAGGAAATGGAGAAGAACCGGAAATATATTGATGTACAAATGGAATGTTGACAATGCAGAAACTTAACCCAAAGATATTAATAATAATAATCCTTGCATTCGATATAACGCTTTTCACGTCGGGAGGTCATCCCAAAGCGCTTCACAGAACACACTGTAAAGTGAATTGACTGTATATTTGTGGGCGAACGCGGCAGCCAATTGCGCACAGCAATGTCCCACAAACAGTCGTAGATTGAAAATGACCAATTTATTATTGTTTTTGGTTTTGGAGGGATTATTATTAGGCTCTGTGTGGAGTAAGGAAACTTGCCCAAGGTTTCACCCTCTGCCTGGAATTGAACTCAGGTCTCTCACTTGCAAAGCGAGTGCTCTAACCACTGAGCTACAGGACTCCACAATATAGTTCCCATAATCATTGGGTCAACTGGGACTGTTAATAAGGCTGTTCAGAAATGGCTGACACCGTACCTGGTGAAGAAAATATCCTCCTCCTGAGGAAAGTAGTTATTTTAGAAAATTTAAATATACCGAGAAAAGTAACGTATTTTCAGTAACTTCTACGTCCCTGGCCCCTGCCCCGCCCTCCATCAGCGGTCAGGCCTTCAGCCTCTCTGCCCCCACCCTCTGGAACTCCATCCCTCAGTCCCTTTGCCTCACCCCCTCCCTCGCCTCCTTCAAGGCCCATCTCAAAATTTTCCTCTTCAACCGCGCCTTCAGTCAACTTTGTAAACCCGCCCTCCCTGCCCCCTCCACAAACCCCCGCCCCGACCCCCACCCTCCCCGACCCCCACCTCCATGCCTCCCACCCCCAGCTCGAGTGCAAACCCTAGCCAGTCTGGCGCCTTAGGACGTCCTCCCGACGTGAAAAGTCCTGTGTAATCTTGTTGTTGTTGTTGTTGAAATCAATATGTTGTTGTTGTTGCCCTGGTCACACCTTCCCCATGCCTCCATTCTGGATGGTGCGAGCCCTGGAGAGTGGGGAGGGGGACTAAATGGGGCTTTGTAAATCCACACACAGTGTTCAAAGGGCTCAGGTCTGGGTGAAAGGGACAAACAGTGGGGTTTGGTGTGGCTGACGATGCGGGGCCGGAGCTGAAACCTTTTCAGTGGCTCTCTATTCAGGTGATTCAACACACAATGAGTGAATCCATCTGTCACTTGTGTGAGATTCGCAAACCTCTTTCACAGCCGCCACCACCAACAACAGTTTGTGTTTATAAAGCGGCTTCACACGAGGGAATGTCGCGGATACCAATCCTGGCACGAGACACCTCATCGAGAAGTCTCAAAGCTTCACACAAGACGCTGTGGAGTGCAGGGCCTGGGGCTGTGGTGAGATTCTGGGTTTTCTGTGTGGAGTTATTGTCCTCTGTTAATTATTAACATGCAGATAGGAGTTGGCAGTATTTGTTTTGTTGGAAATTGTTTTGCTGTCTGTTCAGGTGGACGTTAAAGATCCCACGAGGCTATTCGAAAGAGAAGGGAATTTCTCTCTCCTGGTGTCCTGGCCAACAATCCTCCAAATAAAATTGGCCCAGGAATCGAATCCAGGTCTCTCGCTTACGAAGCGAGTGCTCCACCCACTGAGCTACAGGACTTCACAATGACCCATCACCCCACCCTGGCCGTTTGGAAAAGCTGACTCCGTCACTGAGGATCACAGAGGCAATCTGAGGAGATGGCATCTCCAAAGCCATCAGGGATTGGAGGCTTCAGCACATTTTCCAGTTGTGTCTGGCTGAAAAGTGAAGCTTTTTTTTAAAAACATCGGTGGGTTGGGGGGGGGGGAGGCGGAGAGAGTTGGGGGGAGAAGAGAGAGGGGGAGGGAGGGAGAGAGAAGGAAACCCGGTGACTTTCCTGGCTGTAGGCTGATCCTGCCTGAGATCTTAATTATTTCCAGATGTTGGGAAAAGAATGAGTCATTGAAAAAAACACCACAATAAATCAAATCTCTCTCTCTCCCCTTAGTGGCAACCAGTCAAGTTGTTATACTGTGTGCGTTACTGACTGGATCTCTCTCCTCACTCCGTCTCTTCCTCCTCCTCCTCCTCCTCCTCTATCTTCCCCCTATTAACTCCTCTCTCATTCTCCCATCCTCTCTCTCTCACACTAACACCCTTCCCCTTTCCCTTCCTCCCTCTGTGTGTCCCCACTTTCTCTCTGCTCCCCGTGGAACGCTCTCCCTCAATCCCTCCAAGAGCCTTGCCTCCTCTCTCCTCTTTTTCAAATCCCGCCTGAAAACCTTCCTCTTCCAACTGTGCTATGGCCTCCTCCCCCTCCCCCCACCCTCGGAGTCAGCTTCTGTCTCTGTGAAGCGCTCTGAGACGCTACCCTTTGTGGAGGGCGCTATATAAGTGCAAGTTGTTGCTCCCTCCCTTTTCTCTCCTCCCTTTCCCCCCCCTCCCCCCCCCCGCCGGGTGTCGCATTGTGGGAGGTGCCTGCCCCCCTCTGGCTGTTCAGGTGGATGTTAAAGATCCCGCGGCGTTTTCAAAAAGAGAAGGGAGTTTCTCTCTCGCTCTCTGAGTCCCGGCCGACAATCCCACATTCCAAATAAAAATTGCTCGTTCCCCTCACGGCTGTCGTGGGACGTCGCTGCGAGCAAATTGGCTTCTGCATTTCGTACACAAAACTCACAGTCACTGCGCTTTACAGTAAATCCTGTAAAGCGCTTTGAGACATCCTCCTGACATGAGAGGTACTGCATCAAATGCCAGAATTATTATTGTTGTTGCTGTTAATACACATTCCATTCCAACAGTCTCTCTGGGGTTTCCTTGTGTGGGTGGGAGGCCTGGGACTCTCAGTTGGGTTTGAAGCCTCTTAAGCAACAGTGATGGGCTTCTGTGTTTGTCAGATACTCGCTGGGCAAAAAAATTATTATCGGATCTTTAAACGTCTATCTGCCCATTTCAGAACAGTGTCCCCACCCACCCCCCGACAGCTGTGTCTCCGTGTTCCCTCCCCATCGCTCTCTCACCCTGACTTCCTCTTTCTCTCTTTCGTATACAGACTATTTATTTCTCAGACTATTTTTTCTCTTTGTCTCTCGCCCCACTCTCTCTCTCCCAACTCCCCCCACTCCCTTTCTCTCTCCCTCTGACCCCAACTCTCCCCCTCTCTCTCGGTCTCTCTCTTTCTGCCTCCAGACTTCTCTTCTCTCTTTCTCTGGCTGCACAAGCAGTGGGAAGCTTTCCACACAAAGCTCTAAACAACACTGAATGTTTTTTTAACTGATTAAACTCCAGCAGTTACCCTCTCCCCCACCAACACACATTCTGGGGTCCTTTTCTGACGCTCCAGTGCAGTGCTGGGGGGAGCACTATATTGATGGAGGTGCCGTCCTTCGTATGAGACGTTAAACCAAGTTCCTTTCTCCTGTTCAGGTGGATGTCAAAGATCCCGTGAGGCTCTCCCGGTGTCCTGGACAACAATTCCCCAGAGATAAACATGGTTGCATGTGGGATGTTTGCCTACAAAAATACGCAGTCACTACACTTAATCCTGTAAATGCTTGAGATGTTTAAAAGGGTGACCGAATGGCACAAGGGAGGAGGCAGCATATAGTAATAATAATCTGCATTTGATACTGTGCCTTATTGTGTCATCACAAAGCACAGGAATTACTGGGACTATTTGTTAGGTGGAACACAGCAGCCAATTTGCACACAACAATGTCCCATAAAGAGCCACAAAGTGAGTAACTCATTTCATGTGGCGATTGTCAGCCAGGATACTGGGAGAGAAACTCCCTTTCCTATTCCAATAATAATCTTTACATTTGACATAGCGCCTTATCACATCATTGACACATCTTAAAGCGCTTCACAGAATATACCATAAAGTGAATTGACTGTGTATTTTGTGGGCGAAACGTGTACGGCAGTGTCCCATAAACAGCCGTGGACTGAGTGACCAAATTATTATTCTCGGAGGGATTATTACCCCCAGAAAGTGATCCGCCAATCAACTAACAACCGTGTTCCTACTCACTGCTGATAAACGTGGGGAGTAAGGAAACTTGCTTCAGGGTTTGCACTGCCTCGGAATCAAATCCAGGTCCTCTCGCTGGCGAGTGTCTAACCCCTGAGCTACAGGAACTTCATGATGCGGGGGTGGGGCGGGGGAGAGGAGGGGGTGGGGGGGGGGAGGGGGGGGGGGGGGGGAGAGGAGGGGGTGGGGCGGGGGGAGAGGAGGGGGGGGGGGGGGGGGAGGGGGGGGGGGGGGGGGGGGGGGGGGGGGGGGGGGGGGGGGGGGGGGGGGGGGGGGGGGGGGGGGGGGGGGGGGGGGGGGGGGGGGGGGGGGGGGGGGGGAGAGGAGGGGGGGGGGGGGGGGGGGGGGGAGAGGGGGGCGGGGGGAGAGGAGGGGGGGGTGGAGGGGAGGGGGCGGGGGAGAGGAGGGGCGGGGGAGAGGAGGGGGGGGGGAGAGGAGGGGCGGGGGAGAGGAGGGGGTGGGGCGGGGGGAGAGGAGGGGGCGGGGGGAGAGGAGGGGGTGGGGGGGGGGGGGGGGGGGGGGGGGGGGGGGGGGGGGGGGGGGGGGGGGGGGGGGGGGGGGGGGGGGGGGGGGGGGGGGGGGGGGGGGGGGGGGGGGGGGGAGGGAGGGGGGGGGGAGAGGAGGGGGTGGGGCGGGGGGAGAGGAGGGGGCGGGGGGAGAGGAGGGGGTGGGGTGGAGGGAGAGGAGGGGGCGGGGGCCACACACAGGCACAGACCTTGTCCAGGTTCAGATCTTGGCCCCAGTTTCTGAGGAATTTGAACAATGACAAACAATGATAAAGTGACATGAATTCCTGGGTTGGCCCTGAGGTTTAGACTGGTTCTCCCGGTCAGTCTCTCTCCTGATATCTCTAAACAGAGAGACTGAGCCAAAGGCAAACAACTTGAAACCACAGCCAACTGGAGGGCAAAGGGCAGAGGGTGAGACTGTGACACAATCAAGAAACTGTTCATAACAGGAATCAACCTTCCGATTGACACAGTGCCAGAACATCTCAAAGCGCTTGACAGGGTTCCAGTGTAAAACTCCCTCCATTGTCAGGCTCCAGCGCTCCATGTCCCCCACCCTGACCTCCCCACCATCAGCAATCAGGCCGTCAGCCTCTCTGCCCCACCCTCTGGAACTCCATCTCTGAATCCCTCCAACTTGCCCCTTCCCTCGCCTCCTCCAAGGCCTGTCTCAATAACCTCCTCCTCGACCGTGCCTTTGGTCACCCTCCTACCGCTACCCTCTACTGCCCTCCGCCCTCTAATCCCAACCCCCAGCTCAGGTGCAAACTGTCCAGTTCTTTGGGATGTCCTGCTGACAGGAGAGCCGTTGTGACTAAGCTCTCCAGGACACTACCCCATGTGAATGGCTATACAAATGCAAGTTGTTGTTGTCGCCATTGTAGTTTGTGTTGCAAAGTGCAGTGACTCTGTATTTTGTATGAAAACGTAGCAGCCAATTTGCACACAGCAATGTTCCCAGAAACAGCCACCAAATAAATGAGTGATTTTATTTGTGGAGATTATTGGCCAGGACACCAGGGAGAGAGAGAGAGAGAGAGAGAGAGAGAAACTCCCTTCTCTTTTGTAATTATGCCACGATTGGTAAACAACAACAACAAAATGACATTTATAAAGCGCTTCTCACATGGGGAGGACATCCCAAGGCACTGAACAGTTGGGGATCAGGCCCCGAGTGTGGGGTGGGGGCAGGGTTGGGATGAGGGAGGGCAGAGAGAGGGTAGGAGGGCTGCCCAAGGTGTTGCCCTCTGACTTTATACAATTCAATTGACATTTAAACAGCACCTTTCAAGTCAAATGTCATTTGAAATCTCTCGATACATTTGATGTCTTTCAGCCACAGGTGGGGCTCAGTCTAACGTCTGTTTTTTTTTGGCATCACCGTGACCAGCCGGGAGTCTGACACACACAGAAACCCATCATTGTTGCTTAAGAGTCTCCAAACCCAACTAAGTATTGCCTGTTTCCCCCCTACACATGGAAATCCCAGAGAGAGATTGTTGGAATGGAATGCGCTCTCTCTCTCTCTCTCTGGAGGGAGACATCCTGTTTTCTTAATTCCAGAGAGTATCAGGCACAGGTTGGCAAGAGCCAAGGCTTGAGCCAAGGCTACCCGTTAGGGCTTTGGCTGGCAGTGATGCGCAATGCTACCTTGGGGCGGCGCCACTCCACGCCGGTGATCTTGGGGGATGTGTAGTAGAGCGATGTGCTGTCCGGGAGGAACAACGGGTCCTCGAAAAGCTGTTTTCGGCTCAAACATTCCTTCCTCAGCGCATCGTAATTCTGGTTCTCATATGGCCTCACCGAGTCAAACATCCTTCAGACCTGAGGAGAGCAGAGGGGAGAGTTACAGCGGGCAGCGGCCATCACCCATAGACCTTCATCTTCAGAGCGACAAGGGATTTCCAACCCTATCCCTGTCCCTGGCCGTCCATCCCAGCTCCAGCCTCCAGTCACCAGGCCCCAGTCCCCACCCCACCCTCCAGGCCCAGCCCCCAGCACAAGGCCCCCAGCTCTCCATCTCAATCCCAATCCCCAGACATCCATCTGCATCCTGTGGAGGCCTGTAGCTCAGGGGTTAGAACCCTCACAAGCGAGAGGACCCAGAGAGAAACCTTAGGCAAGTTTCCTTACTCCAATACCTGGTAACCAGCAGTAAGTAGGAACCGGTTATTAGTCAATTGGTGGATCACTTTCCGGGGATAATAATCCCTTCAAAAAATAAGTAACAATAAATAAAATAATAATAATTTGCTCACTTGTTCCATGACTGTTTGGGATACACTGCTATGTGCAATTGGCCACAAAATATATAATCAATTCACTTTACAATATAGTCTGTGAAGCGCTTTGAGACGTCTCAAAGACTTACTAAGGCTCTGTATCAAATGCAAGGATTATTATTATTTTATCCTAAAGACATGCAATCTGTAGACATCCATCCCAATCCCAATCGCCTGCTCCAAACTTGTTGGAGTTGGGAGAGGTGGGGGTGTTGGGGGGGGGTGGGGGTGTTGTGGGGGGTGGGGGTGTTGGGGGGGTGGGGGTGTTCGGGGGGGTGGGGGGGTTGCAGGGCATTTGGTAACATATACAATAGTGGGAAATTCCCCAACAGTCAATTTAAATTCTCCACGGGTAAATTTCCCGTCCAACATAATAACTATAAAAGTTTTGATGGCGGTCGGGAAACAGTTACTGTTTACATCAACAACAAATGACATTGGTGCCTGTGCTTCACGTCAGGAGGACATCCTGAGACGCTGGACACTCAGGGATTTGGACTCGAGCTGAGGGATGGGATCGCGGGGGGAGGACAGGGCGAGGAGGGTGATCGAACGTGCGGCTGAAGAGTAGGGTCTTGAGGCAGACCTTGAAGGAGGTGAGGGAGGGAGTGAGGCAAAGGGTTCCGGAGGGTGGGGGCAGAGAGGCTGAAGGCCTGACCGCCGATGGTGGGGACGGCTGGGCGGTGGGCGTGGAGTGGGCTGGAGTCTGCCGAGTGGAGGGAGTGGTCAGGTTGATAAGGAGTTAGAGGGTCACAGAGGTAGGTGGGGACCAGGCCAGGATCTTGAACCCGATCCTCTGAGGGATGGGAAGCCAGTGGAGTCGGGCGAGGGTGGGGGAGATAATAATAATAATAATCCTTGCATTTGATATAGCGCTTTTCACATCTTCTCGACGTCTCAAAGCTCTTCGATACGCTGTAAAGTGAATTGACTGTATATTTGAGGGTGAAACGCAGCAGCCAATTGCGCACAGCAGCGTCCCACAAACAGTCATGAAGTGACAGATTTTTTTTGAATGATTATTATCAGGAGCCTGGTGCGGGAGAGGACACAAGCTGTAGAGTTCTGGATGATCTGCATCATGTGGAGGGAAAAGTCGGGGAGGTCGACAAGGAGGGAGTCGGCAGAGTCGAGTCCAGATGTGATGAACGTGTGGTTGGGGTTTCAGTGGCCTGAGCGGTGAGGCAGTGATGATGGCAGTGGTGGAGCCGGGCGATGCTGCAGAGGTGGGGAAAGGCAGAGCGGTTCATGACATGGATGTGGGGTAGTTTAGGGAGTGATAGTGTCGTCTATATAGCAAACATGAAGCATTGCTTCACTTGCGACAAACTGAGATTAACAGTTCTGGATATGGGACAAATGGTGGCACTTTTGATTTCAGTCCAACCAGTGATAATCGTCTTGTACTAAGAAAGACAAAGTGTCTGTCTGTCTGTGTGTCTGTCTGTCTATCGTCTGTCTGTCTGTGTTTCTGTCTGTATGTGTGTCAATAACACAATAACGGATTTGACGTAGAGACATGATTTATACCTCATCAGAAAGGTCTTGCATTTGGCAGTGTCATGGGCATATTCTTTTGAGGGGGTATCTCCTATCGTTGATGAGCTATATTAAAAAATGCTTTAATTAAGCCCCAAAATATGAGGTATGGGTCGTATTCTGTAACTACTTAGTGACAGAGGAAAGCACACACCGTTTCATTCAAATGTATGGCACTTTTTTCTGCTTGTCATGGGAACTAGAAAGAAACAGAGACTGAGACTGAGGGAAAGAGACAGAGAGAGAGAGACTGAGAGATATGATTGATATATGGAGTGAGCCAGGCTTGGTTTGTTGCACTTGCGCCTCACAGACAGATAGACAGACAGACACTTTGAGCTCACAGTATAGGTTTACGTTCCAGTGTAGTCAGTGCCTTTGATCACCCTCCGTACCCCCTTGCCCTCCAAACTCCCCGATTCCAACCCCCAGACTATGTGGTCTTAGCTGGTTAGACTCCAGCATTTACCCCAACGCACCCCCTGGGCTCCCCAAGCCTTGGCTCTTGCCAACCTGCAAACAGTCGCACAAATAGTCGTAGATTGAGTGCCAATTTTTTTTGAGGGATTATTCCCTCCGGAAATTGATCCGCCAATCAACCAACAACCAAGTTCCGACTCACTGCTGTAAACAGAGGTGTGTGGAGTAAGGAAACTTCCTGAGGTTTCGCTCTGCCCGGGAATCAGACCCGGGTCCTCGCGCTTGTGAGGCGAGTGTCTAACCCCTGAGCTACAGGACTCCATTTTGATAGAGTCATAAGGGAGAAATTCGTTCCACAGATTGGTGAGTCAATAAGTAGAGGACATCAATATAAGATAGTCAGTAGGTAGAAAATGGGGATGTTGGGAGAAAGGTTTCCTGGCACTCACTCAATCCATCTCCTCCTCCTCCGCTCACTCACTGTTTAGCAGCGATGGTTATCAGGAGCGGGAACTCAGAGTTCGTTTATATCTCCTCTAATATTGCAACATTCCCATCACTACCTCATCTGAGAGCAGAGGGCAGAGGGCAACCGCCTTAGTCTACATCAGTCACACAAACCTCGCCCACCCCACGATAGGGCTGGAGAGAACCAGGAGAGACTGTCTGTGTTAATAGGACAGGATCTGTAACATCCACCTGAACAGTTAATAATAATAATGATGATAATAATAATCCATGCATTCGATATAGGGTTTATCACGTTGTTGAGACGTCTCAAAGCTCTTCGCAAAATCACAGTAACCCACCTGGATGACAGTCAATTGATGGATCGCTTTTCTGGGGCTAACATTCCCTTCACAAAAACAAACCATGACTGTTGTGCGCAATTCGCTGCATTGTTTCGCCCAGAAAATTGTCACTACATTTTACAGTATATTCTGTGAAGCGCTTTGAGACGTCTCAACAATTAACGCACTTTATCAAATGCAGCGATTATTATTGGTATTATTTTATAGGCAAAACAACATCCGATTTGTCTGTTCAGGTGGACCTTAAAATTACTGACATTACTGAGAAGGGAGTTCCCTCTCTCTCGGTGTTCTGGCCAACATTCCTCCAGATAAACATTGGTCACTCACTTCTATTAGACCATGGCTGATCTGTATCTCAACTGTAATTACCCATACATCAATATATGGTATACGTAATAATAATTAGCTGATTAGACTCTAGCAGTTACCCCAACACACCTCTGGGGTCCCCAAGCCTTGGCTCTTCTCAACCTGCGCCTAATACTCTCCAGAATTAGGTAAACAAGTACAACACAAACAAATTACCCTCGTAATTACACTTGCCCTTCACGTCAGAAATCAGGTGTGTCCCTCCAGGGAGAGCGAGAGAGAGCGAGAGAGAGAGAGAGAGAGAGAGCGTATTCCATCCCAACCATTTCTCTGGGATTTCCATGTGTAGGTGGAAACATGGAATTCTCAGTTTGGTTTGGAGATTTTTAAGCAGCTGATGGGCTTCTGTGTGTGTGTCAGACACCCGGACGGGCAAACAGGAGATTGAGACTCTGCCACCGCCCACACTCCATCCCGGCCCCACCCCACCCCACCCCCAACCACACCCCCCACCCCCGGCGCTGCCATCAGTAAACCGGTTTGGCGGGCGGGGTGTGCAAGTCGGTGGGGATGGAGCTGTAACTCGCTCGTGGGCAATTGTGAGAAGTCTCCAGACAGTGATCCCAGGACAGACACCACTGGAGGCAGTGATCTGTCTCGTCTCGTGTTGGCATTAACAGAGGAAAATACACTGCAATATACACAGCCAATACACTGCACCCCAATCAATATACACAGCCAATACACTGCACCCCAATCAATATACACAGCCAATACACTGCACCCCAATCAATATACACAGCCAATACACTGCACCCCAATCAATATACACAGCCAACAGGGTTTATATCCCCTCCCATACATACCCTCTCCCACACACACCCCCTCCCACACACCCCCCTCCCACACATACCCTCTCCCACACACACCCCCTCCCACACACACCCCCTCCCACACACACCCCCTCCCACACACTCCCTCTCCCCCTCCTCCATGTCTCTCTTCAGTTCCCCCCCACCCCACACACACTGATCTTTTTCCCAAATGAGATGAAGCTAATATTACATTACATGGCACCAGAACTTCTAATCAATTTCCCACACAACAGCTCATCAATAACAATAATAATCCGGTATTCAATACAGCGCCTTATCACGTGTTTGAGATGTCTCAAAGTGCTTCACAGGATACACTGTAAAGTGTAGTGACTGTGTATTTTGTGGGTGAAACACAGCAGCCAATTACGCACAACAGAGTCCCACAAACAGTTGGGGATTTGAATGACCAAATTATTATTATTTATTTTAGTGAATGATTGGCCCCCTGGAGACGCGCGATTTGACGTGATTGAAAGGCAGAGAGAGATCACAGAGGACGAGTCACAGAATTTTTTTTAATCATAATAATAATTCTTATGTTTGATACAGTACCTTAATAGTGTCTCAAGGTGCTCGCTCCCCCCTGGACCTCCCTACTCTAACCCCATTGCCCCGCGGTGTCTGCGCTGGTCGCTCCCCCCTGGACCTCCCTACTCTAACCCCATTGCCCCGCAGTGTCTGCGCTGGTCGCTCCCCCTGGACCTCCCTACTCTAACTCCATTGCCCCGCGGTGTCTGCGCTGGTCGCTCCCCCTGGACCTTCCTACTCTAACCCCATTGCCCCGCGGTGTCTGCGCTGGTCGCTCCCCCCTGGACCTCCCTACTCTAACCCCATTGCCCCGCGGTGTCTGCGCTGGTCGCTCCCCCTGGACCTCCCTACTCTAACCCTATTCTCTGCTCTTCTCTTTGATCCCTTTTAATATTCGTCGTTTAAAATTCCCTTTTTAAAATATTTACGAAAACTTCAGTTTCAATGTGGTGAAACATTCCATTCCGTGTCTTAACTCTCCACGTGAAAATGTTTCGTCCACACCCCCTCCCCTCCTCCTCTCCCACTCCCCCTCCTCTCCTCTTCTCCCCCTCCTCTCCTCCTCTATTACCGTGAGACCATGAGGGGGAGAGAGAGAGAGAGACCGTGAGGGGGAGAGGGAG